CTCTTTCCTGGCTGAACACAGCACATATGCTCACAGCTTGGTCCCTCTGGCACATCTTTTGGGTACTTTTGATGTTAGATACGATAAGAAATTAATTCCAAAAGGGCTAAAATAACAGTATTGTATGGAAGCACAGTGTTGTTTTTTTTTCTTTTGTTTGACATGGGGCCTTCAATGCTAAATCCATTATTTTCACCTTAGTTCTGGCTTCTAAATTTTAAGTTTGTTTTACCAAATAACATTTCTTAAAATTCAACCAATTTTTATCAGGGGCTTGGAACTGATGAAGATACTTTAATTGAGATTCTGGCCTCAAGAAACAACAGAGAAGTCAGAGAAGCCAGCAGATACTACAAAGAAGGTAATTCAGAGTAAGAAAGAAGTATTAATGGTATAACTCTGCAGTAGACACATTACAGCCATAGCAGCAGTTTTCAGTTTCAGAAGTTGAGATGACCTAGAAGGAAACTGAAGCTTCATGTAAGATAAAAGGAGTTTCAAGGCAAGGGGATCATACTGGCTTTTTCTGATCTACAAAGATCCCAACACAGAAGGGAAGGGCACATCATAACTGCCAGAACTGCCGATGTCTCATGGAATAAGACATGCACTTAGGTACTTTCTAGGACTCAAGCAAAATCCAGCTGCCTTTTTTCTCTTGTAACTAAGGCCTGGCTGACCTTTCAAGATCACACTGGGCTTAAAAAAACCAACCAACCAACCAACAACAACAACAACAACAAAAAAAAAACAGAAAACACCAATCCCAACAAAACCACCCCCCCCCACACACAAAAAACTTGTTGAGTTAGTAACACAGATAACATTAGCAGAAAGATAAACCAGTGAACTAAAAGGGGACAATCTGTGAAGAGATACCTAAAGCACGATGTGGTATCTCTCATAAGTGTAGTGTTTTACTGCAGTCTATCAGTATGGGCTAACTTTCCCAAGGGATTTCCATTCAAATACTCTCAATTAGAAGCCCAAATTAATAGTCTGAGGTTTTGGAATAGTTTTTTGATTTACTTTAGTCCTGATGAGGACAACCAGAAATAAGAAATAGATCAGAGAAAGTTTCAAGTTTTCTCTGTACCTCACAAGCAAGAGTCCAAGACAATGCCACCCAAAAGACCTTAGAGTAAGACTTTTTCAGGAGATTTTCAGTCTAGCCTCCAATTTCACAGCACACCTCAGGGATTAGAAGAAAATTGCATTCCTAGGAGGCATATTTAAGTGGGAAGTTAAGAAAAGGCTGAAAAAAAATCATAGAATGCTTTTGGTTCCAAGGGACCTTTAAAGATCATCTAGTCAACATATTTATTTGATGACTTTGAAACAAACTATGAACCCTTTTTCTTTTGGTTTCAGTGCTGAAGAGAGATCTAACACAAGACATTATCTCTGACACATCTGGAGACTTTCAGAAGGCTTTGGTTGCTCTAGCCAAGGTATGTTGTGCTTAAACATTTTCAGTGACATAACAAAAAATCTATTTTAGAGAAAGACATAAATAAATAAGGATGTAGTTAATATTTATTTTTTGGCATTATTTTTATTTACATATCTTAGACCACATGAAATTGTTCTTAAGCTAAAATGAAATTTTATATCAAATGCATTTTAAAAAAACCAGCACTGTTTAGTTATTTTTAATCAGTTATGCTTCTAAGACTTCCTATTGCTGGCAGCTGCCTGTAAACACACAAATAATGTCATGTCAATGGACTGGAAATAGAAAAGAGAAATTTTTACAATTAGAGAAATAAATCTTTTGGCTGGCTCTTCAGGTATTTTTCTAGTAGTTAGATAATGGGATGAGGCAGGGAGCCAACAAGCGGAGCAAGTATTTTGCAAATTTGTGTTCAGAAGCAGACGACTTTGAGCAATGGACCTGACCAATAAAAAGACCCTTTTAAAATGCATAAATATTTGATTCCATGATTGTTAAGCACATCTATATGAAGTTTATACATGCACACACGATCATTTTTTGTTATGTCCATGTGCATTGTTTTGTTTTTCAGTTTTTGGTATCAAACCAACTTGAAAGGAGTCTTTCTAATGGTCCTCAGGGAAAAAAATCACAGCTTCCAAACCTGTAACTTCACATTAACAAAAATACTTCCTGTACATTATAATGTACAAATTCAGAAATAAGTTGCTAATGGCCTTAGAAATGTAAGCTCTGAGTGATTAACAAATGAAACAGATTTATTCACAGAATTGCTGACATAACTATTTATCTGCAATTATGTATTGTTATGTATACGAATGGTAGTGCAGAACTCTCAAGTGCTGAGTTTTGATGAATTGAATGATTATGAGTACCTGTGAAGGTTCAACCTGAGCATGAAGAAACACTTCTTCACTGTGAGGGTGACAGAGCACTGGAACAGGCTGCCCAGAGAGGTGGTGGAGTCTCCTTCCCTGGAGACCTTCACAAGCTTCCTGGAGTTTTTCCTGTGTGGTCTAGTCTAGGTGATCCTGCCCTGGCAGGAGGGTTGGACTAGGTGATCTCTAGAGATCCCTTCCAACCCCTACCACTCTCTGAATCTTTGAAAATTTATTTATTTATTTACTTGTGTAGGCTGACCGATGTGAAGATTCTCATGTGAATGATGAGCTTGCTGACAATGATGCCAGGGTAAGATCATACTTGACACTCTACAGAGCTTCTTCATCTGACTTGAGATTACAAACCGGCTGGGAATGTTCTGCCTGAAGCTTGTACATGGCAAACGTGACAGATTAATACAGTGTATGCTAATCTTTTTCTGAGATGATACTGTTTTACAAAGTTCATGTAAGCTTTGCTATCTGAAGGAATTTAAGTCTTCACCCTAATATCTAGCTTTAGAAGTATTTCTGCAAGACACTCTGCTGAGAGAGTGTTATTAAATTGTCTTTGCTGCTCTTTGGAGGTCTTTAATTATTACTTCTAGAGAGGTTTGAGAAAGTGAGAAAAATGAAGGAGATTGATTTGGTTCTTACTTTCCATTAAAGTCATCCCTGAAAAGACAAGGAGTACTTGGTGCATAGACTGCTCCTTCATATTTGTCCAGTTAATGTCAGAGATAATACTTTTGGTCTGAAGGAAGTTTGCCAGTCCTAAACTCCCAAGCATATCATGATACATGAAAAATATCTTCATCCAAGAATGTAATACACCCAAGAGATCTAGATGGTGATCGTAAAATGTCTGGTAATGTGTTTTGTAGCTACATAGTGTTCTCTAGGTACTATTATGGCGTAAGTGAGGTATGAAGTATTACTTGATAAAGCTAGAATTAGTCTGAGGTTGTGTAGAGTGCTGTTATGGATTGTGTCAAGGGCTAGACTTCCTTATTGACAAGTAATGGCCTACCTTTGGCTGGTAGCCTCAGAAGTACATTATTTCTGTTTGGGTTTTACTACACTGATGTTAACTTTACTATTCTATTTTCTTTATGACAGGCTTTGTATGAAGCAGGAGAGAAAAGGAAAGGAACAGATGTTAATGTGTTTGTTACTCTTCTTACTACAAGAAGCTACCCACATCTCCGAAGGGGTAGGTTGGATGAAACTTTGTGCTTCACAGGGACTGTATTTTGAACACGGCCTGCTCATGAACTCAGAGAAGATAGAGATTATCAGGACATGACTCTGCTACAAAGTCTTTGTAATTGGGCACATGCTTGCTGACTAAGGGTACAGTTGGCAGCTTGGCTGTTCTTTCCATGCTCGTGATGAGCAATACTATTGAGGTTGTTAACAAAACTATTACCATGAAGTCTCACATGGCTAGTGATCACAAGGTCAAGAAATCAGTGTGGCAGGGGATCTGAATGCTCTCCAACATGGTCTCGTTCCTCAACCAATTTTCCCTGGGTAGAGGGGTATCATCTGATGTCACAGGTTCCAGTGATCATTGAACCACCTCTATCCTTATCAATGGGAACACGAATCCTAAAGTCCCATTCCTTATGCTGGCTCCAGTAGCCCATGTGGTAACACTACTCTTTATACTGTGCTGGCTGAAGAAAATGAAAGTGATGTCCTGCAGTCAGACATCTGTGCACACTGCTGCAGCAGTGACAGCAGAATAAAGCAGAGGAAATGCAGGGAGAATACTGTATTTTCATCAGTATTCACTGAGTCTTCTTCCTTATTCAGTCTTTCAGAAGTACACCAAATACAGCAAGCATGACATGAACAAGGTACTGGATTTGGAGCTGAAGGGTGATATTGAGAACTGCCTGACTGCCCTTGGTAAGTGGTTCTGCAGATTATAACCTGATGTATACATATACTGACCATATGAAAACCTACTTTTTACTTCCATCATACTTGGTCTGATCGGAAACCATTTTGGGCTTCCTCTGTTTCAATGAGAAAGCTGCTAAATATTTTGGAAAATCTAATTGGAACACAGTGATTTAATTGAGTTTTTAAAAGTCAGTTATAGTTGATGAATGAGTAGAAATACCTCTCCTAATATGTAAAAAGGTCTTTTAGGAGAACAGATGTGTCATCAATATAGGACGATCTTTACAGGAAGTCAATATACCAAAACAAAGCTGTCAGAACAGGCACAATATCTATAAAAAATACAATAGTTTTGAAATCATCTTCAAAAAAAAACCTGACACACCACTCATCTCTACATTTTGTTTTATATATAATCATTTTTAATATATGATGATTAAAAATATAGCAGATTTTCTTCTTAGGTTTTGTTCAAAAAAATATACTTACAAGGTGTATGATAAAGGTGTGTATTAAGACCTTTAACATTACAGTTCCTCATAAACAATAAAGTGAGGCAGTGACTCACTTAAGTCACTCTTATCAGTGGACCAGCAGTTGAATCATAAGCCAGATACCCATCTTGTTCTCAGCTTTTGTATCACAGTCAAGAGTATGTTGGATAAAAGAATGAATCCCATCAGATCCCTCTTAATATCAGAGGTGGAGGGCGGTAACTTAGTATAACTTGGTTTACAAAATGTCACATCATGACCTCCGCATCTGCTCTAGAGGACAAAATGCTTTCACATTTTTCTTCTCAGGAACAGCAAAATCTGTCTTAATTTTGTGGCAGGAAATTAGGGAGCTTAGTCTTGTAGCCATTCTATTCTGACTGAATTGCTTTCTGAATAGTCAGAGGAAAAGAACTGCTACTTCTTCCATATTTTGAAGACAGGTAACAAATAGGTAGATAAATAGGATATGCTGTTGGGAACACTGAGACTGCTTTTCAAGTGTTTCCAAACTTTTGCCTTTTGTTACTTGTTACATGTATAACAGATGTGACCTTATCTCATTGTTTCATTACAGTGAAGTGTGCCACAAGCAAGCCAGCTTTCTTTGCTGAAAAACTCCACTTGGCAATGAAGGTAACCTAAAGAAAACGTTTCTCTATGTAAACATGGGGTGCTCTGTGAGCTGGAAAATAACAAGTTAGCTAGAGCTGCCTGAGCCCTTTGTGTGATATAAAAGGACTGCAGAAGGAAATTCAGTGTATTTCTCTTTCTTCTTCTGTTCTTTCCTTTGAAATTTCTGTCTTTCTATAGGAAGAGCTGTCCATTCAGGAAGGCATCTGTCCATCCACACGTGTAACTTCTACTCTAGATGGTGACAGAAAGCTAACTTGAACTATTCTTATATATGAAGCTGCAAAAATACTAGCAAAAAGTGAATAGGAAAACAATTACAGATCTGGACAAGAGCCTTGTAGGAGTCTACCCATGGTCCGTCTTGAAAATTTGGAACCTGAGTTGAGTGAGGTACCTGGAGATCCTGAAACAGTCTAGTATGCAAGTATTTTCATAACTCCTGTGACTTAGTTAGGAACAGTATGTGAAAAATTGAGCAAATGGTTATGAAAATACAGTTCATTGCACTTGGACAAAAAACTTTAAAAAGGTAGTGAATTCTAGGTTGTCTCTGGTGACTGGTAAGTACTGTGAAGTGCAACAGCTAAAAGAAATGTGTGAAAGAGGAAATCCAGGGATGGAGGTAGCCTGTCAGCAGTGAATTGTGCTCATAGGGAACAGAAGGGGGATATAAGAAGAGCCCCTTATGGAAGATGTTAAAAGGAATAGGAGTAGGCTTTGTACACTCACAAAGAAGTCTGGTGTATTAACACACAGAACCTTGATTTAAGATGTTTCAATTACATAAGTAGTATCCTTTTTTTTTTTTTGGATTCTTATTTTAACAGGGTTTTGGGACACGTCACAAAGAGCTCATCAGAATCATGGTCTCACGCCATGAAGTGGATATGAATGAGATCAAAGGCTATTACAAGAGGCTGTATGGCGTCTCTCTCCGCCAAGCCATTATGGTACGTTTTCTCTCAGGTGACATGTGAAATGTAAAACAGCCAAATGATTTTTCGAAATTCAGTAAGGTCTTGTTAACTCTCCTGACCCTCAGTCACCAGTTCATCCAAAGTAACTCATTGTAGCTGAGTAACTCATGCGCCCAATGATCCACATGCTGGTAGAACTAATTCACTTTCTGGAGTAAAGTTCTTGCCACAAAAGCTGTAACAATTTGTTTGTGACAGTACATGTATCAGGATGTAATCTTACAATATAAAACAAGAGCTGAACGGAGATTATCGAATGCCCAAGTTCCTGTGCTTGGGCAGACATAAGGTACATTGACAGGAGAGTGAAGATGTACCACCTTGGCTTAGACAGATGTACTCTTCACTGGGTTAAAAACTGGCTAGAGGGCAGAGCACAGGGGTTGTGGTGAATGGAGTGAAGTCTAGTTGGCAGCCGGAGACAAGTGATGTCCTGCAGGGCTCAGTCTTGAGGCTGGTCTTGTTTAACATATTTATCAACGTTCTGGCTGAGGGGATTGAGTGCTCCCTCTGTAAGTTTGCAGATGACACTAAGTTGGGTGGAAGTGTTGATCTGCTGGAGGGTAGGAGAGCCCTGCAGAGGGATCTGGACAGGCTCGATTGATGGGCTGAGGTCAATTGTATGAGGTTAAAAAAGGCCAGGTGCCAGATCCTGCATTTATGTCAAAACAACCCCAGGCAGCACTACAGGC